AAAGGAAACCCAAAATATATCCCGTGCCAACTGGGCTAAGCTTTTAAACTAAGAGAATGTTTACACATGCAATTCTGGTTACAGAAACTCACTTTGTTCAAGGATAGCATAGATAGGATACTTCTTATCTAAAAACATTAAAAAAAAAAAAGATAAAAAATACAAACTGGACTACAATCAGAAAAGAATGAAAAGGATAAGCAGCTTTACTTTCTTATACAGCCAGCAGACAAAACAAAATTTGGAAGGCTACTTGTCATGCTCTTTGAGTCCAGAACTAAAACACAGTATTTTTCCCTTTCATTTTTATTTCTGTTTTGTAAGAAAAAGATTCCCTGTCAGCAACCACATTTATGATAGAAGAACAGAAGTACAAGCAACAAGACCATCTTCCCTTGGCAAACCAGGAGAATTACTACACATGAATCTGTAACAAATTCTATGCTGAATCAATTCCAAAAGTTCACCCACCTGCTATCCTGTTATAAGCTATGGTTAGTTTGATATCTAGGGAAGAGCACACGAACTGAAACCACAGTGCAGTTTTTCTCTGGATGCCCTCCTGGTCTTCAACTATTTGTGGCTCTGATTTCCTTAGTCAAATATAATTTACATACAAAAACTTTTGCTGGTTTTTCCTTTTCTTGCTGTGGTTCTTTTTTAGGAGGAAATTGTCAAGTCTCTTTTGGGTACATTTCCTGCACTCACATCATCTTACTGAAAGGAGTTCCTCAGGTTAACTACATACATGAAGAACCACCTCTGTAAGTTCACCTTGAAGCTGTAACTCACTGATTCCATTTAATATTCGCTCTCTTGCACACTTGCTTGGAGTGAGCAGTTGATTACATAGAATCATAGATTCAGCCAGGTTGGAAGGGACCTCTGAGATGATCAAGTCCACCCTTGATCCACTACTGCCGTGGTTACCAGACCAAGGCACTGATGCCACATCCAGTCTCATCTTAAAAACCTCCAGGGACAGAGAATCCACCACTTCCCTGGGCAGCCCATTCCAACGTCTGATTACCCTCTCTGTAAAGAATTTCTTCCTAATATCCAACCTAAACCTCCCCTGGCACAGCTTAAGACCACGCCCTCCTGTTTTACTGGTAGCTGCCTGACAGAAGAGACCAACCCCCACCTGGTTACAACCTCCTGTCAGGGAGTTGTAGAGAGTGAGGAGGTCTCCCCTGAGCCTCCTCTTCTCCATGCTAAACAGTCCTAGCTTCCTCAGCCTCTTCTCATAGGACTTGTGCTTGAGTCCCTTCACCAGCCTTGTTGCTCTTTTCTGGACCTGCTCCAGCACCTCAATGTCCTTCCTGAACTGAGGGGCCCAGAACTGGACACAGCACTCCAGGTGTGGCCTCACCAGTGCTGAGTACAGAGGAAGAATCACTTCCCTGCTCCTGCTGGCCACACTGTTCCTGATCCAGGCCAGGATGCCATTGGCCTTCTTGGCCACCTGGGCACACTGCTGGCTCATGTTCAGCTTCCTGTCAATCCAAACTCCCAGGTCCCTTTCTGCCTGGCTGCTCTCCAGCCACTCTGTGCTCAGCCTGTAGCACTGCAGGGGGTTGTTGTGGCCAAAGTGCAGGACCCGGCACTTGGTCTTGTTGAACCTCATCCTGTTGGAATCAGCCCAACTCTCCAGTCTGTCCAGGTCCCTCTGCAGAGCCCTCCAGCCTTCCAGCTGATTGACACTCCCCACCAACTTGGTGTCATCTGCAGATTTGCTGATGGTGGACTCAATGCCCTCATCTAAATCATCGATAAAGATATTAAACAGAACTGGGCCCAACACTGATCCCTGGGGGACACCACTAGTGACCGACCACCAACTGGATACAGCTCCATTCACCACCACTCTGGGACCAGCCCTCCAGCCAGTTCCTAACCCAGCACAGAGTGCCCCTGTCCAAGCCATGGGCTGCAGCTTTTTCAGGAGTGTGCCACAGGAGATGGTGTCACAGGCTTTGCTGAAGCCCAGGTAGACACATCCACAGCCTTCCCCTCATCCACCAGGCAGGTCACCTGATCATAAAAGATCAGGTTGGTCAGACAGGACCTGCCCTTTCTAAACCTGTGCTGGCTGGCTCTGATCCCTTGTCCATCCTGTAGGTGCTGTGTGATTGCACTTAGGATGATCTGCTCCATAACCTTGCCAGGCACGGAGGTCAAGCTGATGGGTCTTTAGTTTCCCGGGTCCTCCTTCCACCCCTTTTTGTGGATGGGTGTGGCATTTGCCAACTTCCAGTCATCTGGGACCTCCCCAGGGAGCCAGGACTGTTGGTAGATGATGGAGAGCAGCTTGGTGAGCTCTTCCGCCAGCTCCCTCATCACCTTGGGTGATTTCCCCACAGACATTTTACAGACCTCTATCATACACCCACTCTTGCAGGCAGAAGTCCTAATCTGCTTGTTCCTCACATTCCATAAGTGCAGTCTTCCCAGTAGCTTCAAAAGCCTTCTCTAGCTCTACCACATCCTTTTCAACATGGGGTGGAGGCAGTGGGAGAACCAGACCTGCACTTAAAACTGAAGATGCAATTACTGTATATCACCATTACAGTACTTCTTACATCTAAATTAAGCTCATTCAAGAAATTTAGTTCTGAAAAGAAGCACATATGAGAAGGCCATCTTAAAACAAGATATTGACTGACTCCTTTCCATTACGAAGTTTAAATGCCTGGTTTAACAAGATTAAGCGCAGAGCAATTACAGACCAGATGTGTCCTGTAACACATCCTGTGATACATATTTGCTTTCTGTACATGCGTCAATAATTTGCATCTAACTTCAAATCCCTGATGTCCTGCATACCAGCAGGCAGCGGTGTTTGCACTCCATGTACCTACTACCCCATAAAGTTGCAAAGAATGTGACACAGTCATTACTGGGAGATCTACTGCACAATGAAGCCACTGCCTACAGCACTCAGGCTGAAATACTAGGTCTCAGGGTTTTTACCCCTCAGTAAACAGCACATTATCACCTCTGTGTCAATCACATTTCTGCTATTTTCAGTGCTTATCATTTCTTAAAATTAAGTTGTTCTACAGTGAAGCAGTAATATGATGGCCCAGCAAATCTTCCCTCAGAAAGCAGCCAGCAAGATAACTCCAGACTGGGAAGGTAGCTTAAAATAGAGAGAGAGACAGCGTGTTGCTCAGATAATTAGCTGATCCCTTATTTCATATCCAATGCCTAGATCCCTACACACACACACGCACACTCTGCATGAAACATTTCTAAAAAAGGGTTCCGTGATGATTACCAGCAATCTATTTACTTTCAGGTGAAGTATGTTATCCCATATTCGACTATTCTGTGTAACAGAAAAGAAAGACTACTGAACGAAATGACAGGAAGCTTTTTATTATTATTTCTACTAATATCCAAAGAAAGAAGGTCACGTATCCCCAAAACGATGAGAACTGAATTACACAGCTTTATACAACTCCCTGCAGACTTCAAGAGCTTGCATTGTAAAATTAATTAGGTACTTCCGGCTACAGAATATACACACTTGTAATATAATGATCCTGTAGCTGTTCAACAGG